TTCTAATACTGTTTTTACGTGGATAGGGACTTAATTTAGAGAAATCAGTAGTGTTGGACACCTCACGGGCAAAGAAACGCTAGCGAAGGGGCACGCGTCAACCAGGTAAGTCACCACCCGGTATTTAGGAAGAAATACTTGTAGAGTTCGCTTGGAATTGTATGTATGCATGTTAGTAATTTTGCCTTAAATTAGCTCTCCATGAATGAGATTAATTAGATGGATTGTTACGATGTGTTGGGTGAATTATCTGAGTGTTGCTTGTATGCCTTAAGCTTCCGTTGTACGTATGCACGCGTTTAATTTATGTTAGAATTGTGTATGCCGGGTTTTGGGTGCTCGATGGACGAATTTGCCCCATTGAACGCGAACCTCGTGCTCTGGGTGCTTGATGGAGGTCATCGCCCCGTTGAGCCAGTATGCCTAGTTTGCATGAATTACATACTATGATGTTAGAAGAAATTGCATGCACCCTCTGTTAATTGCTAGGGCCCATTTCTATGATAAGATTAGGGAATTTCTTTTAGGAGCGATATGCCGCTCTAGACAGACTTAATTTTCCCCTAGAAACTTAGTGGTTTACCACGGTAAGAAAGTACCTAAGGGGGTTCATGGATTGCTAGCGTGAGAACGGTATCTATAGCTTCGTGGGAGGACCAAGGGTCCCTGATCAGTCCTTACTGTTCTTAGCCATTTCGCATGGGAAATGTGTCCCCACGTCGTACAGCCCATTAGCTGCATGGGAACGGGTTGGGTCGCGCCCCCCATAGGAGGACTATATGGGCGTAGGGGTATTCAGCACACCTCTAGGCTAGGTACCATGTAGTTCTAGATAGCCATGTAGAGGTAGCGCCTCATAGAGAGATACCGACCATATTAGCTTGGCATAAGGAACCTCTAGGTGACTAATGAAAGGACGATGAACCGGTGAAACCCAAGGGGCAAGCCCCAAGAGACTAAGGTTAGAACCCGATGTCCTAGAACCGAATTAGGAAACCGTGGGAGTTCTGCTAAATTAAGATGCGAAAAGAGCCTACAAGTAGGTGGCTTACTGAGTATAATTTTATACTCATCCTTGCTATGTTTTCTTTTTTTTCAGGGGCGCGAGGCGTCGGTCAAGAGTGGGCGTGATCTGAAGGGAATTGTCACAGAGGAATGGGTTGTCCCGGGGCGTCAGTCCAGTCTTAGTCATCATTTTTGTATTCGCATTCTTTTTAAATTTATTTTCCAAACGGTCTTGTGTTCTGTGTTTATCGTTCGAAAAACTTTATTGAAATTTGATGATTTTCGCTACTTCATATTTAAATCTCTTGTGCATCTGTGTCGTGTCGTTAGTCACTGTCCGTAGTAAAATATTGGGCTGTGACAAATTTGGTATCAGAGCCGTCAGGTTATAGGTCCTGTAGACATTTAGGGTAGAGAGTCGTGTCCTCTGTGACTTCGCTCGTCAATCACATGCCGCTCACTACCAGATGTTCTCACGCGACGGAAACATAGAGACAAAGGTTAAGTTAGTATTTATAGAGCATACCATGACTGACTAGGGCATTATATCGCACATTACCTAGGAGATGTGTTGTGGATGAATTGTGACCATAGTTCTTTGTTATCGTGGTAGATAATGGCACCAAAGAGACGCGAACCGTATGTAGGGCCAGGACCTAGAAGGGGAAGAAGAGAGGAAGTTCAGGACACCTCAGTTCCAATACCTGGAGAGGAACAACCTGAACTTCAGGAGGAGGTTGGGGATATGCCCCAAACTAGCGAGGGGACAGTACCACAGCCATCAAGATCAAAAAGACGCCGAATGAAGGCCAAGGCCCGAAGGCTGCTCGAGACACCCCCTACTACTCCCTTCTCCGAGGAGGCCCCATCGGATCCAACCCCGTGTACAGCAGTCCCACTAAACCAGACATTAGCCATGCCCTCAGCAGAGATGTTTCAGACGTTCATGATGACGTCGATGGAAAATCAGGCTCTGACGAACCAGATGATTCAGACCATGATGTCTAATCAGTCAACAGGGCAAGGGGGCAAGGATTCAGGGACTATGACTGTGGAGTCCCGCTACTTGAGAGATTTCCAGAGGCATAAACCGCCTTCCTTTGACGGAGGCAAGATGGATCCTATTGCCGCTGAGAATTGGCTAGAGGCCATAGAAACGGCCTTCCATTTTATGAACTGCCCACCAAAGTATGAAGTCCATTGTGGGACATATATGCTGAAAGGAGAAGCGCACTTCTGGTGGAAAGGTGCTCAGAAAACCATAGTACCACAAGGAGAGTTTATTACATGGTGTCAGTTTAAAGACGCATACCTCCACAAATACTACCCAATCACTTCCAGAGTGAAAATGCAGGCCACGTTCCTCGCATTGAAACAGGGAGACAGATCAGTGGGGGATTATGACTTGGAGTTCAATAGGCTGGCAAGGTTTTCTCCAGCCTATGTTAGTTCTGAGGAGTTGAAGGGCGAACGATTTATTGCTGGCCTGAGGGAAGAACTAAGGGGGAATGTGGCATCCCAGTCATCCTTTGTCTATACGAAAGCCCTTCAGGTGGCGACCCTGCTCGACTCGCCCCGTACCGACAAGCTTCAGTTGGGAATAGCACAATCATCCCACACTGCGGCCCAGGGAAAGGGGGCATACCCTAGCCACCCCAGAACTGGCAGACCACCCCGTGGCCGCACTGATAGGCGAGGGAGAGCCCCGGTACGGAACATGACTTTGTGCCCTAATTGTCGGCGTCCTCACACGGGGAATGCAGAGCAGGAACAGGCGCCTGCTACAGATGCGGTCAGGTAGGGCACTTTGCAGTGGATTGCCCTCAAAGAAACGATCAGCGTGTCAACCTGCCTGCAGTACAGCATCAGAGGGGCCAAGCCGGCCAACATCAGCAGGGGCGAGCTGTAGCCCATGCAACAACAGCCAGGGAAGCTGACCAGCCTGACGCGGTTGTCACAGGTACGCTACCCGTATTTGGTCATCTTGCATTAGTGTTGTTTGATTCGGGTTCGACGCATTCATTCGTATCTGAAGAGTTTGTAGAGCTAGCACAGCTAGAGAAAGAACTTTTAGAGATTACCCTATTAGTGTCTACCCCTGCTCACGAGCTGTTGCTAGCTACCCATAGGGTGAAGGGAGGTGGAGTAACGATAGCAGGGCGTGTCATCGAAGCTACACTGATAGTGTTAAAGATGCAAGACTTCGATGTCATCTTGGGTATGGATTGGCTAGGCGGGAATCGCGTTTTGATAGACTGCGAGACCCGAATAGTGACTCTCAGGCTCCCGTCAGGGGACATCTTTACCTACAAGGGAGCCACTTCCAAAGGTGTCCCGAGCGTCATAACCTCGCTAAGGGCTAAGAAGTTGATTCGTAGTGGCGCAATTGCATTCCTAGCCAGCGTGACCTTAGATAATAGTAACAAACAAAAAACCTCATCGGTACACATCGTCAGGGAGTTCGTAGATGTCTTTCCGGAGGATCTGCCGGGTTTGCCCCCAGCTAGGGAAGTCGATTTTGGGATCGATTTAGAACCAGGAACGGTGCCGATGTCCAAGGCACCTTACAGGATGGCACCTGCAGAACTCAGGGAATTGAAGGAACAGTTACAGGAGTTGTTGGATAAGGGTTTCATCCGACCCAGTGTATCACCCTGGGGAGCCCCTGTTCTGTTTGTCAAGAAGAAGGACGGGTCCATGCGGATGTGTATTGATTACAGGGAATTAAACAAGGTCACTATAAAGAATAAGTACCCTCTCCCGAGAATTGACGACCTTTTTGATCAGCTACAGGGAGCAACAGTTTTCTCCAAAATTGACCTAAGGTCGGGGTATCATCAGTTGAGGGTCAGGGAAGGGGATATACCCAAGACAGCCTTTAGAAGTCGTTATGGGCATTACGAGTTTCTCGTTATGTCTTTTGGCCTTACCAATGCACCAGCTGTTTTCATGGAACTAATGAACAGGGTGTTTAAGGAATTCTTAGACACCTTTGTCTTAGTGTTCATCGACGACATTTTGGTATACTCTAAGTCAGAGGCAGATCATGAAATACACCTCAGAAAAGTCTTGACAATACTGAGAGCTCAGCAGTTGTATGCTAAGTTCTCTAAGTGTGAGTTTTGGTTGTCTGAAGTTGCGTTTCTGGGTCACGTGGTGTCAAGCAAGGGGATCACAGTGGACCCAGCTAAGATAGAAGCAGTGATGAGGTGGCCACAGCCGACCACAGTTACAGAGGTGAGGAGTTTTCTTGGGCTAGCTGGTTATTACAGAAGGTTTGTTCAGGATTTCTCCAAAATTTCCTCGGCGCTGACTCAGCTAACCAAGAAGGGCAAGTCCTTTGCTTGGACTCCAGTCTGCGAACAGAGTTTCCAGGAACTCAAGAAGAGGTTGGTAACTGCACCAGTCCTTACGGTTCCAGATGGGTCAGGTAATCTCGTGGTGTACAGTGATGCATCAGGGAAAGGCTTGGGGTGTGTGCTCATGCAGAAAGGTAAGGTGATAGCGTATGCTTCTCGACAATTGAAAGAATATGAACGAAACTACCCCACGCATGATCTCGAGTTAGCAGCGGTAGTATTCGCTCTAAAAACATGGCGGCACTACCTGTATGGGGAAAAAGTACAAGTCTTCACTGATCATAAGAGCCTCAAGTACTTATTCACGCAGAAGGAGCTCAATATGAGACAGAGGCGATGGTTGGAGCTGGTAAAGGATTATGACATAGAGATTCTGTACCATCCAGGCAAAGCCAACGTGGTAGCTGATGCATTGAGCAGGAAGGCTGTGCATACTTCTGTGATGATCACCACACAGGAAAAACTACAAGATGAGATGAAGAGGGTTGGGATAGACGTGGTGATTAAAGGTGGTAATGTTCAGATAGCACAATTAACTATACAGCCTACCCTACGAAAGAAAGTTATCGACGCTCAGAGGTCTGATGAACACCTCAGTAAAGTGTGGAGTCAGATTGAGACAGAGAGGCCAGTAGGGTATTCTATCTCCTCAGACGGGGGTCTGCTATGGCAAAACCGCCTGTGCGTTCCCCGAGACGAGGGAATCTTAAAAGATATTATGACCGAAGCCCACGATACATCTTATGTGTTCCACCCTGGAAGTACAAAGATGTATCAGGATCTGAAGAGGTTTTACTGGTGGTCCGGAATGAAGAGGGACATAGCGGATTTCGTAAGCCGTTGCTTGACCTGCCAGCAGGTGAATGCCCCGAGGCAGCGCCCAGCGGGATTGCTACAGCCCCTGAGCGTCCCTCAGTGGAAATGGGAAGCAGTCTGTATGGATTTCATTTCGGGTTTGCCAAAGACAAAGCAGGGTTTCAACGTCGAATGGGTAATTGTAGACAGACTGACTAAGACAGCCCACTTCATTCCAGGAAAGTCCACATATCGAGTAGACCGGTGGGCTCAGTTATATATCAAGGAGATAGTACGCCTGCACGGGGTACCAGTGTCCATAGTATCAGACCGGGACACCTGGTTCACCTCTCAGTTCTGGAGGAGTCTTCAGAAGGCACTAGGAACTCAGTTGAGGTTCAGTACAGCATTCCATCCTCAAACGGACGGACAGACCGAAAGGCTGAATCAGGTTTTAGAGGACATGTTGCGAGCCTGCTCCTTAGATTTCGCTGGGTGTTGGGACGAACATCTGCCTTTAATGGAGTTTGCCTACAACAATAGTTATCAAGCGACCATTCAGATGGCCCCCTTCGAGGCATTGTATGGGCGTAGGTGTCGAACACCAGTGTTTTGGGAAGAGGTAGGCACGCAGCAACTAATGGGACCAGAGTTGGTCCAGGTCACCAACGCAGCGGTGCAGAAAATCAAACAGAGGATACTCACCGCACAGAGTCGA